ATCACTCTTCAATGTTAGGCCGAAGTGCCTTCTTTCATTTTCTGAATGCATTCTTTAATTTCTTCTTTCAACGTGGTTGTATGTGTCTTCTTTTTACTCTTGTATGATTCTATACTTCAAATAATTTGGATGTCTTCTCGGGGTATAATACCTCGGTTATACCCACTAATCGGTTTATCTCAGCCTCGGCTTAACACTTGAAAATATTTTTTAAAATATTTTCACAAGTGTTATTTACAACTCGATACTTCACTCTTAGCAAGACTTCTGTCTTCAAATTTCTTTCAAGTCTTGGCAACATGGTAATCTCGGCAAGTATGTAGATATTTCTTTTAACATAACCTTAACTTAACTTGTAAATTTTTCTCAAAATTTCAACAAGTGTTAAACCAATCTTCTTTTAACATAACCTCGGTTAACTTCAACTTGTAAACTTAAATGTCAACAAGCATTAAACGTGACATCGGTTTAACTTCAACTTGTAAATTTTAATTTCAACAAGCGTTAAACGTGACCTTGGTTTAATTTCAACTTGTAAATTTTAATTTCAACAAGCGTTAAACATATCATCGGTTTAACTTCAACTTGTAAATTTTAATTTCAACAAGCGTTAAACATGGCATCGGTTTAATTTCAACTTGTAGACTTAAATTTCAACAAGCGTTAAACATGACATCGGTTTAACTTCAACTTGTAAATTTCAATTTCAACAAGCGTTAAACATATCTTCGATTTAACTTCAACTTGTAAATTTTAATTTCAACAATCGTTAAACATGGTCTCGGTTTAACTTCAACTTGTAAACTTAAATTTCAACAAGCGTTAAACATGGCATCGATTTAACTTCAACTTGTAAATTTCAATTTCAACAAGCGTTAAACATGGCCTCGGTTTAACTTCAACTTGTAAACTTAAATTTCAACAAGCGTTAAACATGGCCTCAGTTTAACTTCAACTTGTAAACTTAAATTTCAACAAGCATTAAACATAGCATCGGTTTAACTTCAACTTGTAAATTTCAATTTCAACAAGTGTTAAACACATCATCGGTTTAACTTCAACTTGTAAACTTAAATTTCAACAAGCGTCTAAACCAATCTTAGCTTGTGAAATTCCAACTCCCAAGCATCATTCTTCAGCCCTTTACCCCATAATGTGAACTTAAGTTCCACTTGGGTTCTCATTAGGCACGTGGCTTTGACCTTGTCGCCGATGTAAGATTCGAACAAAGATTGGCCGAGGTTATCAACCTTGGTCTCTTTACTAAGGCATTCAGCTCCAATCTGTATCTGATTTTGCCGATATGACAAGTTCAGGTTAACCCAACTTAGTTCAACTTTATTATATGCAAGTAAAGTTTATACTCTGCCATATAATAAATCTAAGTTATTCGTCATGTTTCAATCAGAAACATCGTCATAGGACTGGTCGGTCCTATCGCACAGATTTCAAAAATCAAGCTAGCACTTTATTATTGCTTCAGCCGTTATGCCCCATTACCGGCAACCTTTCCCAGGCTGAGGTGCCTAACTTTGAACTCTCTTGGGCTGACCATCTTATTGTAAGCTCTAGCAAGTTGTTGCTGGTATGCCCCCAACCGAATTGCTGTTCTATCACACGTTGCAGGTGGATTTCAAAGCATTTTAATGCTTTTTTACATAGGCTTCAGCTTCTTTTTGCATGTAAGGCCAAAAGAATCCCTCCGATATTGCTATATGGGCAAGGGATCTGCCCCTTGTATGGTTTCCACATACTTATTTGTGAACGTTATATAAAAATTCTTTAACGTAGGCCAAGCTCTTCTCTTGTCGGACTTAATCACCTAGGCCGAGATCTTGTCTTCTAGGATCTGGGATCCGAGATCTGGAATCTGGGATCTGCTCACTTGGGCTAAGCCCTTGTCTTCTCGTATCCAGTGTTATCTCGGCTTCGCTTCGACGAACCATTTCTCTTCTCTTGTTTGGATGCTTTTGTTCCCGGCGTGTCCTCCTCGGCTCTGGCATTCTTTTCTATCCTGGCCATCAGCTCCTCCATGCTTTTCGACAATGTCTTTGCCAATGATTTTCGAAGCAGGCAGTCATCCTTCAAGCTGTTTTTAAACGACACGACAGCCACCTCTTGGTTGCATCCTGGTATTCGGTTGAATACCTCATAATACCTTTTGGCATAGGCCTTAAGGCTTTCATCATCGCCGATCTTCAGGGCCATTAGGGCGTCCACCCTCAATGGCTGTAGCTTGTTTGTCACGAACCTGGCCACAAACATCTCGGTCGGGCCTTCCCAGGTTTTCACAGTTCATTTCAGCAACTTGTGAAACCAGTCCAATGCAATTTCTCCGAAGGATGAGGGGAACACTTTGTAGAGCAACGGCTCGTTCCCGGTGTACAACACCATCGAGTTCAGGTACAAATCGACGTGAAAGTTGGGGTCTGACTTACCGGCGTAGATCTGGAATCTCGGCATGCTAAACCTCTTCGAGGCTTCGAATTTGTCCAATTTTATCGAGAACGGCATTCTCGACTTGACCGGGGAGGTTACCTCGGCATCTTGTTGCTTCCTTTGTAGGTGATCCCCTAGATCCTCTTTGGTCCGTCCAGGAGCTCGGCTATCTCCTGACTTCAACCTTTTCGGTGCACTACTCCCAGTTTTATTATGGGTCTTTTTGGACTTCCCTCCATTGGTTGCGTCGAAGCACAACTCCTGCCCTTGAACATGCCGATGTTCTTTGGGGTCGGCTTCCTTGGTGCGATGCGTCCTTCTTGATTCTTCCCTTCTTGACTCTCCTCGCCCGACCTCCCTTGAAGGCCGGCGACAGTGTTTTTCGGTCCTGGTGTGCTGGGGGACCGTACGGACTGTTTTCTGCCCCTCTTTTTCCGACATCCTCCTTTGCCGCTGGAATTGGCGTATCTTGTAGTGGGAACGGTGGCTGCATGACATTATTCTACATCATGAAATTGACCACTGTTTGGAGGTCCGCCAATTTGGTCACCATGGCCTTCATCTCGTCGTCCCTCCGCAGGCATCTATCTTTCCATACCTGGAGGTCGTCCTCGTTATAATATCCGCTCCGGTCCAATTTCTTCGGTACGCCGCCCTCCTGGCCGACGTCCTTTTCTCTGTGATTCTAATCACGAGCCTCTTCATTGCAGTTGTCTTTTTCGACGTCAAGGTTAATGCGTTTCTCGCTCCCAGTAGGGGTGTCGTCCCCAACCTTCTCTTTCTGTCTGTCGTTGGCCATCTATTCTTCTTTCTTTCCCACAGACAGCGCCAAATGTGGGTGTCAATTTTCGACCACACTGCCGATCAAGCACTCAGCTGGAGAACACTAGCAGAATATATTAAGCCCGAACGACCTGCAACAGAAAAATAAGAATCCCGCGGTGGTTCGTTCACCCGGGGGCACTCCAACGATCAAATCAGTAAAATATCTCTCCAAGATAATCAATAGTGCTTAACTCACTAGATAAAGCATAAAAGACATACCTTCGACCCATGAGGGTGCCTCTCTTTTATAGCCAGCACAAACCTAATCCCAACAGAAGCCTAGCTTCAATGGACTTAAGATTATTGCTAATCTTGGACTCCCAGTAGGATTAAGATAAACTCTCTCCCAAACTGAAATCTTCTCCCATTCTAGGACTCTTGTCTCTTATCCGCTTATCTCAGATTCCGGTATCTCTGCAGATAACCTTGGCCTAGCCGTGATCATCTCGGCATTATGAACAGGACACGTGACACCTCGACTGACACTTCGGTGTCACCTCGACCACGTGTTGTCATTCAAAAATTATGTCCCCACAACGTATTCATATTTCAAATTAATTATTAATTACTTAGTTTCATGTTGTTCTTCCATCTCTAACAATAGAGTGTCAATATTACAAATATATATATTTTAAAAAATTATTCAATAATTTTAAAATATCACGTGTTCGTATTCCAAATTAATTATTAATTACTTTAAAATATCACGTGTTCATATTCCAAATTAATTATTAATTACTTAGTTTCATGTTGTTCTCCCATCTCCAACATAAATCGTGAGTCCCTATCCTTCCATACCAATGAAAACCTTACGAAATACTACGTGTCTATATTCTGAAAATACTAAGGCTTTGTTTGTCATCTTCTAAATAAGTCAAAAAGCTAAAAAGTCATTATCTTATTTAAGTCACATCATTTGTCTATCGCATCACTTCAAACCTGACCCATACCTAACTCATATTTCATAAAAAGTCAAAAAATACACTTATTTAGAACATCCCAAACAACTCATAAATAATTACTCATATATCTTTAATGTTTTTTAAACACCTAATAATATAGTTTATATTTTATTTTATTTTTTTTGTCAATATGAAAGATACCACAAATATATCATATTCACGTACCCTTCCACGACCTTATAAATAAATAAATAAATAAATATATATATATATATATATATATCGTTGTTACATTGAATTCCATATAAATACCAACAATGAACCCATCACAATTATTTTCCACAAAAAGAAAGATATGGCAGATTCAACACCCTCCTCTCCCATTCCCATTCCCATTCCCAACCACCACCACCACCACCACCACCACCACCACCAAATCATCCAACCCTAAATGACATCTTTGAACAATACTTAGGAGGCTTTGGTTGGGTTCAATTCTATCAAGTCCTCCTAGTCTCTCTTGCCTGGATCTTTGAATGCCAACAAACATTCATCACCATCTTCACCGATGAAGAACCCACCTGGCACTGTATTGATCAAACTTCGTGCAATTCTCACACTAACATTTGCAATCTCTCTTCAGACACATGGGTCTGGGACCAGCCTGCGCACACCTCGATTATCTCAGACTGGTCTCTCCAATGTGCTAATTCTTTCATTGCCGGTCTTCCCTCGTCGTGTCTGTTCTTGGGTTGTGTCATCGGTGGCTTTGTTCTTGGCTCGCTCGCTGACTCCCTCGGTCGCAAGAACTTGCTCACTCTCTCTTGCTTGATCATGTCTATCCCCGCCTTTCTCATCAGTTTTTGTTCAAATTTGTGGCTCTACTCGGCGTTGAAGTTCGTTTCTGGGTTCGGCCGTGCGGGTATCGGGGCGTGCGTGCTCGTGTTGTCGTCGGAGATCGTTGGGAAGCGGTGGCGAGGCCAGGTGGGGCTCTCCGGCCTCCTTCTTTCCACCATAGGGTTTTTATCGTTACCCGCGATTGCTTTTTTGACTAGAGGCTCTTCGTGGAGAGTTCTCTATTTATGGACATCTGTCCCTGCAATTATCTACGCTATTATAGTACATTTTTTCGTATACGAGTCTCCTAGGTGGCTTATCATGCAAGGCCGCGAACAAGAAGCGATCGCGGCCCTTGTAAAACTCTCGCCAACTCACGATGACGAGGGGAGTATAGACTTGAAGAAAATATTGATTGCAACAGTGACACCATCATCATTAGCGACGAAGAACAATCTGCTCTCGTCGATAAAACTCTTGTTGGAGTACCGATGGGCACTCAAGAGGTTATTGGCGACTATGGTGGTGGGTTTTGGGGTAGGGATCATGTACTATGGGATGCCATTGAATCTTGAAAACTTGTCGTTCGATCTGTACCTGAGCGTTGCGCTAAATGCCCTAATGGAACTCCCCGCAGCGCTATTCGTCTTGGCTTTCATCGGACGGTGGAGCAAGAAGAGTTTTGTGCTGGTGTCCGCCATCGTGAGCGGCGGTTGTAGTGTGATGTGTGCGGCGGTTGCCACCATCGTCGACGGCGGCGGAAATGGGTGGTGGAAAGGGTTGCAAGTTGGGTTGGAGTTGGTGTCATTTTTGAGTGCTTGTGTGGCATTGGGGGCGTTGACTATATATGTATTGGAATTGTTTCCAACAAAAGTGAGAAACTCTGCAACTTCACTGGTGAGGCAAGCACAAGTGCTGAGTGGGGTTGTAAGTCCACTGCTGGTTGGTTGCGGAAAGTATAACCCTTTTTGGTCTTATGGTGTGTTTGGATTATTGATTTCGTTTTGCGGTCTCTTTGTAATTTTTTTACCGCATACGAATGATGTCATCTTTTCTGATTCCTTGGAAGAGCAAGAAAACAACGAGAAGGCGGTTTCCAATCCGGTTAATGGTGCCTAACATCATCATGCTCAATTTTAGGGATCAAATTTTTTTTTGTTGTTATTATTGTAATTTTTTTTTATTTTTTAATATTCTTGTTACAGTAATTTTACGATTCAAGATGATGTGATTTTGTAATGAGTTGTTTAAAATAAAAGGTGTCAATTTAATCTTATTTTGTCATAATTTTAATTTTAAGTCGCACCGTATAGAGATAATTTTATAGAATGAGATAGCGATGTGATTTAAAATATTTACATTTAAATTGTAAACAAAATATTTTTATTTATAATTATAAATAGAAAAATGATTTTAATTATATATCTATACTATTATAAAGTGAACAGGAACTTTGGTATCCTGAAGTTTTACTCTCTTCATGCCATGTGGCAGTATTTTTTATTTTTTAAAAAAAACTTAAGAGATGGGCAAGACTTGAACCCATGACCATGGGTTTAAGTACGAGAACTCATACCACTTAAGCTAAGTACACATTATAATATTAATTTCATTATTATTATTTTTTATTCCTACTTATTTAAATTGCACACACATCGTGTGTGCCACCCACTAGTATATATATATGTGGGCTTATATCATTAATAGTTCAAATTTAAAAATGTGACGGAAATATCTCAATCATTACTGTTAATTGAATTCTCCTATTACCGACTTTTTGACAAACGTGCAATGAAATAATTGGTGTCCAAATAATTGGTGTTGAAAGGAGAGATTTGGAAATAATCCAAATAAATATATTTATTTAGTTATTTGTGTCATATTATTTTATTTTATTTATTTATTTATTTATTTTTTATTTGTTTTTTTATAAAAAATTTAAAAGTACAGTAAATAAGTAAATCCTAAATAATCTCAGTTGAAAATGATTGTAGCTTTTCTCTGTTTCTCTATAAAGATGGAAATCCACACAAATTCGACAAACTCATTGGGTTTGTATTATTGGTCATCATTTTCATAACGAAAGTTGACAGTGTTTGGTTTCTTGAAATTGAATGAAATAATTATTTTATTAAAATATTTATTTTTATATTTTATTGGCAAAAAAAAAATTACATTACAAATAAATTCATCCATTGCCATTGTAAATGAATTCACCATTCTATTTTATAGAACCATTGTAAAAAAATAAATAAATAAATTCACCATTCTATTCAATCTCATTTTATTGAATCAAATAGAGCACTGTATCTTTTTTAGGTAATATTATAAATTTTTGTGACAAATGTTATGCTAACGTCGTAACATTTATAACATTTACCAAAAGAAAAATATGTAATAAAGAGTACCATATTATAATCTGCGTTTAGATTAAGAATTTGAAAGGAAATTTTTTTTTTTCTCAATTCTTATTTAAATTCATCGATTTTGGTCCTCTCTATTATATGTTTATAATGAAATATTTTTTATATTATAAAAATATCATTATACTTACTGTTATAATAAAATCTATTGCAAATATATAATAAAGGGAATCACAATTCTTAGTCTTCGTTTGGTAAATATTTTGGGGCTAAAAAAAATATAAAATAGACTATATAAGTTAATAAAATAAAATGTCACATTTAAATCATAATTATTATATTTTTTCTCTCATAAAAATTTAAAAAATTTAAAAATAAAAACCAAATAAAGTTAAAAAAAGTCTCAATATAAAAGAGTTAGCTATCATTGTTAATGCCAAACAAAACTTAAGTTTTTGGATGAGAATAACACTATTTAAAACATAATTGAATAATAAAAGATGCTTTTACAAGCAAAGAAATCCAATGATTGTTGGCTTCACATGCATTTTCTGAATCATAGCATGTATGCAGACGGGTAATGTTGGGTGTGACAACTGGACAGCTATTACTGGTTCAATAGATTCAAATGTTCAAGCAATTATTATTGTGAAGAGACATTCATGTGATAATGTGATAAATTAATCTCGATTATTCATTTGTGTAAGATTTGTATGGGATTCATATAAATGAATGATTTAGATTAATTTATGACGATGACATATGGGTCATGGGATGATTTTTTTTTTGTATTACACATTTTTTAAATTTAATGATATAAAATCTATATATCTATAAATATAAGTAAAAGAGAGTTTCTAACCCACAACACTTTCAAAAGCTCCAATATTCAAATCTTAATTTTTTGATTTTTGAATTAAAAAAAAAAAAAACTCCAACCCACCCTTCAATTTTAGATTTTTTAAATTCTAAAAAATCCTTAACCTTAACTTTTATAAATTAGGGCTGAGTAAGGAATCTGTGAAATTCGTAATTTGATCCGGTCTAGTTTAATCCGATAGGTTTAGATTGGTTTTTTAAATCTGTGGTTCAGTTCTGGATTAAAAAATTAAAAATCTGTAGTCCACGGATTGATTCCGAATTGAACCCCACAGTTTCGAATTGGAACCGATCCAAACCGTATACAAATAACTTATATTTATATTATACACCCTACTGTATAGTGTCTTCTCTTATTCCATATAAAACTTAAACCCAAATCTAAACCCGCGAAATATCTTCTTTTGTTACTTTTATTTATTAGTTTTTAGTTTTAATTTATAATGGTCTAAATACTTATGGTGAAACTAATTTTCTTATGATTGTTTAAATTCTAAAATAGTATGTCGTTATTATAAAAAGTTGTGTTACTATTGTGGAACTAATATGATGCTATATTTATGTATTTATAAAATTAAAATGTTTTATTTTTTTTATTTAATTATGTGAATCTGTAATTTTAAATCGATTAAATCCGTGTTTAAATAAATTAATTCAAATTGATTTTACAATTTAAACAAATTAAATTAATTTCAATTTTTTAAAAAACATAAATAACTTAATGTAAACTAATACGTCCCATACTCATCCTTATCATAAACCATATCTTTTTTCAGCACTGCTTCAGACTCCAGTGACGTGGCGCGTTATTATTCGTTAAAAAAAAACAAAAAAAACTAATTTTTTTTTTTTAGCCAATCGCGAATCTACATGCACAACCCAGGCATTTTTCATCTTTTTTTTTAATTTCTTTCCACGTCCGTCCACCGCACAATCGATATCCACACCCGCAAACTTTAATGGTTACAGTGGGCTCTTATTACCTGTAGGTAATTATCAATACGAGGAATGATTTATTCCCCCTTTTCCCCCACCTCCTTTGACCCCCTCTTTCTCTTATTGGTTATTTTTTCTTTTTTTTTTTCTTTTTCTTTTTTTTCCTGCTCCACCAATCACCCCTGCCACGTGGCAAAAGGGGTGAGGGGGTGACCCCAAAAGAGAGTCCCAAGCATTATTCTTATCAATACACTTTATTACTTTTCTTTCCATTGGTGGTTTTAATGTTTGCTTTGCTTTTCTTTTCATTATTTTATTTTTTATATTTTTTATGATCAATGAACGAGCAATATGCTTGATTAGAGTTTTTCAAAAACTCTTTTTAGAAAATTTTATTTTTTTATTTTTTTATTTTTATTGAATTTTTAAAATATTTTAAGCAATTTTATTTTTTATTTTTTAGACATACTTAACATAAATATACCTAAAAAGTAAAAAATTTGTGAAAGAAACCTTTTAAAAATTCACTAAATACTAAAAATATGAGTAAAAAAAATATAAGAATTCAGTACATTTTTATATTTTTTTATATTTTTATGTATTTATTAATTTTTTTTAATATTTTTTCACAATTTTTTTACTTTTTAGATATATCTAAGTAAGGTGTATCTAAAAAAGTAAAAAAAATATTTAAAATTTGAAAAATATTCACTAAAAACAAAAAAACACGAAAACCAAAAAACTCAATTTTTAAAAAACTTAATTCAAAAAATTCAAACCAAACACACTGATTGATTTTTTTCTCATCTACTCTTTTATTATGCGAAAAAAAAAATTATTAATTAACTATATTTTCTCATCTATTTTCTTAATTATACTATTGCTTTTCTTTTCATTTATTTTATTATAATTTCATATTTAAGATGTGAATTAAAATATTTACATTTATAGTTGTGAACAAAATATTTTCATTTACAATTATGAATAGAGAAATAATATACAAATTTATTTTTGTGATGTGTAAAAGAGATGATTAATTTATAATTAAAAAATATGAAAAATAAAAATTACTTTAAATATTTTAATAAATCATCACATTATTAGATTTCAGAACTAAATCTAATTTTTAGACAACATTATCGTGCCGTGAAACCCAGGAAAGCGTTTCGAATATGAACAATTGGAGTTACGCAAACACAATTGAGACGAGCAAGACGGGACGTCAAACCAAACACCATCCCCTTGTCCAGCACTACACTTACGAATATTTTGTCACTTATTAATTGAGCATTTATTTGGGATGTGGTTTAGTTATTTAGTTTTTTTTTAATTATTTTAATTTGAGTTTAAAAAATCTCGTTTGGAATAGATTTTTTAATTTTTTTAATTTTTAAAAATAAAATATTTTTAATTTTTTTTGACAATAGGATCATACACATTATCCATAATAATCATATTGATACAATACCAACCATAGATAAATTTAATAACCATAATAAACCATAATGTTCATAACAACTTACAAACCATAATAATAACATCTCAATTCTTCCACAAACCATAAAAAAAACATCTTCCACAATCTATTATACGCATAAATAATATTTCAATTGTTTCCGAGAGATTCCCAAATTTGACCAGCAATTTGATTCCTTACATCAGACATGTGACGTAATTGAGGTTGACTAATGTCTAAGTCAATTGGTTGCTGAGAACTACTTCCTGCATGTGTCGAGCTGCTACTATCACCTCCACTAGGCCCATTATCTTCAACGATACGATCTGGATTGGCCCATTCAGCGAACAATGTGTCATTTTGAGAATGTGTCCTTATCCAGTTGTGTATTGTACAGCATGCAATGGGGATGTATCTCTGCGTCTTAGTTGAATACGGAGGCATCTCTCTCAAAATTGGAAAATGAGCCTTCAAGACACCGAAGCATCTCTCAATCACATTGCGCAGTGAGGAGTGTCGGTAATTGAACATTTGCTTCTTGTTTCTTGGTTGTCGACGTTGATTACGAAACTCATTTAGATGGTACCTCTCACCACGGTATGGCGATAAAAAGCCAGGCATATTTGTATAACCCGAGTCGACAACATAGTATTTATCTGTTCAACATGTATGTATCTATTATTATGGGTTGACAAAAGAATATTCATTATAAATTAACAAAATGCCATATAATACGTACCTGTTGGTGGCATTGGAAATAAATTTGTTGGATCATGTACGGTTTCAATGAACACTCTTGAATCATTTGCAGTGCCCTCCCAACCGGCCAATACATACGTAAATCGCATATCAAATGAGCAAACACACATTACATTTTGCGTTATTGGCTGGAATTTTTTTTTTTTTTTTTTTCCTTCTCTCTGCCAATCAGAGAGCCCCACGTGGAGTGGGGGTGGGGTCCCCAGCACGATTGTTATTTTTAATATCTTTCCATAAAAAAATTAAAAAAATACGCTAAATAATCAAATCTCAAATCATCCCAATCGAAAATGACTGCGGCTTTTCTCTGTTCTCTATAAAGATGGAAATTCACACAAATTCGATAGACTCATTGGGTTCGTATTGTTGTTTACCATTTTCATCAGGAAAGTTGATAGTGTTTGATTTTTTGAAATTGAATGAAATAATTATTTTATTAAAATAATTATTTTTATATATGATTGGTAAAAAAAATAATTACATTATAAATAAATTCATCCTTTGCCATTGTAAATGAATTCACCATTCCATTTCATAGAACCATTATAAGGAGAAAAAAAAAACACATACAATATAAATAAATTCACGATTCCATTCAACCTCATTTTATTAAATCAAATAGAGCACTATGTATAAATTTTTGTGACAAATGTTATGGTAACATTTATAACATTTACCAAAAGAAAAATATATAAGAAGATTTATTACATGGTGAGAAAAAAATATGATTGCATTTTTTTAACTGATTGTGTTTTTTTACACTCTGTTTTAATAATACGGTGATTTTGTTTTTTAATTGATTATTTTTTTACACTCTGTTTTGATCACATTGTGAAAAAAAAAAATTGTGATTAAGTTTTTTAACTCATTGTATTTTTTGAAAAAAAAAATGAAAAGGATTGTGTTTTTTTAACTATCGGGTTTAAACAAAGATTTGAATAGGGCTGTTACTGTACCCTTGGCTCAACAATAACTGTTGTACCTCTATTTGAGACTTATTATGGACTTGTTTTTTATGATTTGAACCGTTCATTTTGTAAGGTTCGTTGATTACTTTATACATATCAAAAATTGCATTGATCGGATATCAGTAAATATGTGATCGGATTGCATATTTTGGAAACTATTTTAAAAGAAAAACATATTGTTTATTCTTTTATGATGAATGTTTTTGATCGCATGGTTACTGTGTGGGTGATTTTCCGACCACACTGCCCGCTTAGTAACCAGCTGGAGAGCACTGGCAGAATAGATGGCACCAACAAACCTGTAACAGAAAGAAAAAGGCTCCGGCGGTGGCTCTTTCACCCGGGGGCACTCCGACGATCAAGTCAGTATATCTCTCAAAGATAATCAAGTGCTAAACTCACAAGCTTGAGTATAAAACCGCGTACCTTATACCCACGGGGGTGCCTCTCTTTTATAGTTTACTCAATCCAAGTCCTACTAGAAGCCTGACTTCTATGGACTCCAATTTAGTACTTACTTTGGATTCCTCAAGAGATAAAGATAAACTCCTTAAGAGCTTTATCCTTATCTTATCAAAGTCTTCTCTTTTCTCTAGGACTCTTGTCCCTTATCCGCTTATCTCGGATTCCGATATCTTCGGAGATAACCTCGGCCTTGACGAGATAACATCAGCGTCACAACCTGGACACGTGGTACTTCGGCTGACACGTCGGCGTCACCTTGCCACGTGTTGGTATTCAGAAAATACATCCCCACAACTGCCCCCTAGGTTCTATTATCTCGGTATTCTGAGGTGATGGAACCTATATTTGTATTGTCTTCTTAGTACCTCGGCGTAAGAACTCTTCGGCCGAGATTGTCAAGCCGATATGCCTTGTTTTCAAGAACAAGAACTCAAATGAACTTTCCCACGCGCATGAGCTGTCATGCATCACTTCTCAACCGTTTCACTTACGCGTTTTTACCTTATTGGTCTGTGCCTGCGACGCGCTTATTAGCCGTCTTAATCTGTCTGCGCCGTCTGACGTATGCGCTGCTCCAGGCGTATTGATTACCTTTTGCCGCCGTTTTTGGTTTTTGACAAAACCCTTCATTTCCTTCTTCGTTTCTTTACTTTTGCATTTGCTATTTCTTTCTCTAAAACTCGTTCCTTCGATTCCGCCATTGCTGAAGCCTGCAAGCTCTGTATTTGTCTTCCTGGTGGAACTTTTGTCATTTTGTCACATCTGTAACTTCCGTTGACTTCGGCAGCCCTCACATCGGCTTCATTTTTCCTGGTAAGCAACTGTTCCTTCTGATTCCCAATTTCTTCTGTGTGCTTTCGTTTACTTACTGCCATTATTGCTCTGTTTCAAACCTTTGATTTGCTGAACTATTCATCTAGATGCGTCTATTCCATGATTTCACTCATATTTTGAACATTTGCAATGTTTCAACACTTTTCTTGCCACTGTTCTTGACCTTTTACTTCTGTATTCTTCATGTTCTTGATAGCCCATCCCTGTTCTTGTTTCTAAAATTTCGCCTTTGTTTTATGTTTTTTGTGTCTTTGCCAGATCTCTGTCTTCTTTCAATCTTTTGCCCCCATAGATTTAGGTTTGGGATTTGTCTATAGAACCTGTCAATTCTTAGGAAAAAACTGAAACAATCCTTACCAGTATATACCTAGGGTTTCGCCGAGGTCCTGATAACCCCTTTAGAGCATCTTCTTTCTGAAACCTAGCCCTCTGATTTTAGGCCGACGCTATGGGTATGTGGAGACATAGGGTAGACACCCCAACCAAACTTGAGTACTTTAGGCAAGAGTTTTCTATTCCTGCCGATGTCCATCTGAGGCTAGCTGAAGATAATGACTCTATCATGCCCACAGATGATTCAATGTCCTTTCCTATAGTAGCTTTTACTGAGTGCGGACTCCGGCTCCCACTTAACATTCTCTTTCGTGAAATTCTTCACTTTTACAAGTCGAACCCTATGCAACTTGCCATAAACTCTTATCGAGTGATCAATGGCATCATAGCTTTAGCTAGGCAGGAGAACGCTAGGATCACCCTGGCCAACATTCAGTACTGTTATACCATGTGCCCCCTTAACCTGAAGGAAAAAGGCTTCGTTTATTATCTTAAGTCGAGGTCGACAGAATACAAAATTGTAGCCCACCTCCCAGACTCCAACAAGGGGGCTGGAGATGACTATATTATTGCTTCGGGCAATTGGGAGTTTGGCGCAGACGAGGACGCCCATCTCTACCCTCTTTTCCGATCAGTTAAAGAGGGCAAGGGTAAGAGTCCAGCGTCAATATTTTATTTGTTGCTGTTTAAGTCTTCAATATTTTATCTGTTTCTTATGTCTGTTTCTTCTTGCAGACGTTCGCAAGCCAGCGAAAGACTTTCGCCAATCTTACGTCCCCAGCAGAGACTTAAAGAGGCTCCTAGATCTGCCAATCCAAAAGCGCAAGGCTCCACTGGTACTGAATTTCATTCCGACGTACAAGTCTACACTGCCCGACGTCCCAAAAAGAAAGAAGAAAAGCCTTTCTCCTCCTACTGCCACAACTCAAACCGCCTCTTCATCACGAACAGATCAAGAGTCAACATCTGACCCAACCAATCAACCATCTACCTCGGCCCCATACTTAATCCCAATACTGGAAAGAAAACGTTGGCGACGACTTGTCAAAACTGCTGAGATGGGTCGCCCGAAGCCTGTTGCCCAAGACTTCCTAGCCGACCTCCCAGTCGATACTGAGGCTGAACCAACCCAATCCATTCCCCCACCAAAGCCAAAAAGAACAAAAAGGGCTCAGCCAAAGGCCAAAGTGACTCAGGTTGAATCTGAGGATACTTTGCCTATTTCCAAACTGGCTGAGAGTAAGAAGACTTCTTCTGCTCCTGCAAAAAGGTCTGCTGAAACCCCACCCTCTGAGTCCACACAGTCAAAGAAGCCAAGGTCGGCCTCAGCTACTACCTCGGGGTCCAAGAAACCGGATGTCCCTTGGGCTCCCAAAATTACTTTGGAAGACAGGCCAATTATGTCCACCGATGACATTAATGTCGACGTCGCCCTTAGCACTGCTCTTCTCCTTCCAGGGGACTTGGAGCGAAATGCTGAGTACAGTGAGTATGAGAACTACGCTTTAATGCTCCAGCACTCCGTTCAAGTAAGTATTCCTGTTTTGAACTTTTGACTTTCTTTTTGTTTCATACTTAAAATATTTTCCAACACTTCGGTTTTCTTTCAGGCCATCCAGCATGCCCATTCGTTTTCAATGCAATCTTTTAAGAATCGGGAAAGAATGACCGAGATGAAGAAGGAGTTTTCTGCCCTGCAGAAGACCAACAAAGGTCTTCAACTAAAAATGAAGAAGCTGGAAGACTAGGCCGAGGCTGCAACTAAGGCCCAACAGATAGCCGAGGAAAAAGTTGAATCAGCCGAGGCTACAAGGAAGGTCGCCGAAGCAGAGAAGATAGAGGCCGAGGACAGAAAGGACCAAGCCGAGAAGGAACTGCAGGAGGCCCTGGCCACTAAGGATGTTGAAATTAAGGAAGCCGACGAAAAGGCATACGCCCAGGGTATGGCTGACGTTACTGAAGAATACAAACTTCAGGTCAGGCAGGCATGCAACAGGGGCTTCTCCCTTGGGTGGATGTCCCTGATAAAGAAACTTGATCATCCTGCTGATTCACCCTTCCGTAATGCTGATGCTATCCCTCTTCCCTTCCCACCACCTCCACCTCCAAGTCAACCTGAGGATGCTTCTGAATCTGAGGATGAAGATAGAGGTGAGGACGAGGATGAGGCTGAAATTTTGGTAAGGAAACCTAAGGATGCTGCTGGGACCAAATCCCATCCTTCAAATTCGCAAATTATGGACTTAACTTAAGATGATGTAGGTGAAGGGGTTGCCAAGGAAACCACTCCAGAGCATGCTTCGTCCGACGTTCCTCAAATTGACAAGAGTATTGCTGAAACTCTTGCCGAGATTGATGCAGAACTTGTAATGGAGAAGGCGGCCGAGGTAGCTCTTCAAGAATCTGCAGAGGTCCAAACCAAAGTTGCTTCTGAGGCTAAAGAACCACAACTTTGATGTCTCACTTTTCTAGTCTTTTGTACTCTTTTTTTTTTCCTGGACAATATAAGCTTTTTTATATGGCTGATGTTCTTCCTGTTTTTGTTGAATGCTTTAATCTTCAATTTCTCTTGATTGTTTCTGCATGGTTTCTATACTTAGAATATTTTGCATGCTTTACATACTTCTTCCTTCCTTGTGCAAATTTCTCGGGGTTACATACCTCAGGTATAATAACTACAAAACTTTTACTTCGGCAAGATACTGACCTGCAAACTTTTCATAAATTTTAACAAGTGTAAGACATATACTATTCAATGTCAACTTTGTGAACGTTTCTCAATGTTTCAATCAAGTGTTTAGACAGTGATCTTAGTCTAACCTACTTGTAAATTGCTACCAATTGCAACAAGTTAGCATATACTGTAAACTTTTCTCAAGTTATAACAAGTGTTTAAGCAATGATCTACTTGTAAATTGCTACAAATTTCAACAAGTATTTAAACAACATACTTAGCTTTTACCTCAACCTGCAAATTGCTACAAATTTCAACAGATGATCATAAGTCGGCTTAACATTATCTTGTAAATTGCTACAAATTTCAACAAGCGTTAAGCATCTTCCTTGGTTGGACCAACCTGTAGATTGCTATAAGTATGCAAACTATAACCTCAGCTTCACTTCGACTTGTAAATTGCTACAAATTTCAATAAGTGAAGATAAGGAATCAGCTTAACTCTAACTTGTAAATTGCTACAAATTTCAACAAGTGAATTAAGGAATAGTCTCTGTCTTCTCTCTGCCCCTAATGTGAACCTGAGTTCTACTTGGGTTCTCATTATTCATGTCTCCAAAAACACCAATATGTAACTTTATCAATCGTATGTGTTTTAAAGAAAAAGGGAAAAGATTTTATTGATGACATCGGCCAAAAATTCTGCACATCAAATGATAGACGAATTTCAAATTACAAGTGTTCCAAGGTCTTGGCAGTGCTTTGCCCTCGTTATCTTCAAGCCGATAAGCTCCATTGCCTAATACCGAAGTGATTCTGTAGGGTCCTTCCCAGTTTGGGCCAAGCTTGCCCTCTCTGGGATCTTTCTTGTTGCCGACGACTTTTCTCAGTACTAGGTCGCTGACTTGAAAATCTCTTGGATTGACCTTCTTGTTATAAGCTCTAGCAAGCTGTTGCTGGTATACTGCGAGCTGAATTGCAGCTTTCTCTCTTTGTTCTTCCAAAAGATCCAGATATCGGGCTAAGAGTATGTCATTGGTGCCATTCTCTACTCCCTGGGTTCTGATTCCTGGGATGCCGATCTCCAATGGGATGACTGCTTCTGTGCCATAAGCCATGGCAAAGGGGGATTCCCCTGTTGATTTTCTCGGTGTAGTCCGATATGCCCAAAGTACATTGGGCAACTCGTCTATCCACTTTCCTTTTTGTCACGACCCAAACCCGGCCCTATGGGTTTAGCACCGTAACCGGCCAGTAATCCGAGATTACCGAAGGCCTGCTTAACAGAAATACAGTAAAACAGAGTACAGGGCCTGGCGGAAGCCAATACAGTAAATAAATAGTGTCCATTGAGCTGTGACAGTCTGTATGCAAAAAGGCTTTCCATGCATTCGTACATAAACGGTACAGAACAGTATGAACAATATTCACATCCATTCAAACTAGGGACTCAACCCTACATAACAGTGCAGAAAACATTCTGTCTGTACAAAACAGTACGGTCTATACAAAATTTACAGTCACACAGTACAGGGACCTAATCCCTGTATAACAGTAGCGTCGTGATAAATATTTTTTATTTTAAAAATATAACCGTTAATATTATTCTATAGTGACGCTTAAAAACGCCGTCGTAGCTTCATTTTTTATTTTTTATTTTTTTTGAAATTGTGCTAATTCTATGAGATTTAACTAAAAAAATACTTGCAATAAAGATGAAAAATATTCAATATATTGACTTAATTTAGGTAAACATAATACTGGATCAATCCATGCTTCTCAATATGCAAAAATATTTCAATTCCAAGATAAAATAAAGTTAAACTAGTGCCCAGTAGTAAGTTGAAAGTTATTACAAAACAGATCGGCACAAAAAAAGAAGGAAAAAAAAAACAGATCAATCATGTACTCTTTACAGCTCAGCAAAAAAAAGATCGGCATAAAAAAAATCAAGATATCTATGAATTTGTCTGGCATAAAAAAAAGAAGGGGTGAGGGGGGGAGAGCTACTGCAGTACAACACAATTGCAAAACCAATCATGTGCTCTTTACAGCACTGGGAAGCAAGTTGAAGGCTTCCAACAAGCTTTAGTTCGCCCTGCTTACAATAAAACTATCAATGACATTTTTCCTGTTAAAAACTAAATAAAGAAATAAAAATTAACCCAAAAGACAAAAAGATATGGAGAGGAAGACAAGATAGACAAAGTTTGCAACATCAATTGACAGTTATTGGTGCAACAATTTATTAAAACATGGAGGAACATGTATGTAAATCTCTAGCATTTGGAAAATTCAATTCCATGATTTTCATTGGAATGAAATTGCTGTCGGAATGTTGTCTAATTTTCTGCAACCAAGCAGAGTGTTACATAACAATGAATAATTAAAATGGAAATGGCAACAACACATAGTATTATGATCAAAGTACACAATTAAGAAACATGATTCATTTCTTCTAGCAACTAAGTCTTCCATGACATGGAAGAATTAAACATCTAATCCAGGTTGTTCGACTAATAAGATTTTTAGAAGCTAACAAGAAAGAGCTAAAACCCAATAGCAACGAGTAGAAGATTAGCAGTAATTTCAAACTGTATATAGAACAATTGTAACCAAAAATAAATAAATCACAATCATACTGATTTTTGCCACTATTTTTGTTTGCATTAAAATCAATAAATATTTGAGGATTGAGCCTTACAACCTTTCAACAATAATCTTACTATGGAATATACCAAATCCGATAGCAAACAATCCTCCAAATCTGATGCATTTATAGGCCTAGCCCAGACATAGACACTACAAATTTATGATTATTAAAAGCTCAGTTTACCTTGGTTGTAAAACATCATAGTTTTTGTATGAGCACCTCGTCCCTGTCTCATCAAGCTTCTTCTTCATAAGAAAATTGAAATCATTAGCTCCGCAACAGAAGTCAACTATCTGTTTAGATAAGCAATAAGCAATAAGCAATTAGGTACTTGAAATCGAAAGTTACAATACTGAGAGTAACTAGTAAATCACATTATATACTCGATTATCATCTACCGTTTACATGATTTTCTTATAAAGTATTTTTGACAAAGGAACTACAACAGATTACCTGATTTAGCAAAACTACATGATTTAGCCAACAAACTACATGGTTCCAAAACAGAAAAAATATATATATATACCTTGGACCTTAGAAAAAAATATACCTAGGAGATGGTGTTGAATCAATGACATTACAACACATCTTTTCAAATTATGTGAACTCGATGACTGGAATAAGCAAGAAGGGTAAAAGATCAATACCAACTGAGAAGGACCATCAATAGAGTTCCATGGCACAAAAATAATAAAATCACAAATATAATAACCATTGAACAATATGTATTACAGACAGGTCATCATAACAACCAATCAATGGACCCCATTGAAGCAAACAACTCAAATCAGCTCAAGTTGATTAACATGATATCAGGTCAAAACTTCATGTAAATTCAACATACCAAGGATTCTCTGTATTCATATTCCTGTCTTTGTCCTATTACATCCTGAATCATTGGATCATGTGAAAATCTTGAGACATATGATCTCGATGTATTATCCAATAATTAGAAGTGTATTAGGATAAGAAAATAGAAGAATTTAGTGGAAAAAAAATCCTGCGCATACTTTTAAGTACAATGTTTAGATTATCAGTTTATAACTTGCCAAAAGCTCAAGCAATCAATTTGTCTTCTTGGCACCAGAGAGAAATTATATGCAGAGGTCTGTGCTTGTTCATATACAGACATACCTCAAGTAATGGGGAACACCATATTGGTGAAACAGTTGGAGGAGTTGCCATTGCCTTTTCCAACATTTCTGATAAAAATTCACTAATGTTTCATTACATTCATGAATTTAAATGCATGAAATTCAACAGAATTAATAGTACCAAATGAAGCTAGCTTACCCAAGCAAGAAAATTAACGAGTTTTAGAACATGTTCAAACCTATCTCAAACAAGATGAACACAAATTGAACTTAAGTAGTTTGGTTAATTTTTTATACCTCTAATATTGTATGTGTTTCCAACGTTGTTCTTTAGATGTTAATCAACCGCTCACCCAACTTTTGTTGCATTGAGCTGTCTTTGGAACTCAAGGAGACGGAGGAACAAGCCTATTAATCCAAAAAAAAAAAAATCCAAAAAAAATTCAAATATTAATCAAACGATGGTCTAGTTTGTCTCTTGTAATGATCATCTACCATTTCTATTACATCCACTACCACTTGTCACTAATATCTATCAGTCTCTTTTGCACATTACCTCAACTTTGAGAAGATAATTTGCAACCAGAGTTAGTAAGAAACTAAAAAATTGACAATACAAACCTCTAGCTCACTTGCTTTTTATTCTGCACTATTTGAGCTTCGAAAAATGGCATCAGAGGCTGAATGAAAGCTCAATGCATACCTTAGGAGGGAAACACAGAATCCGGCTTCTGTGACTATTTGTGTGCACTGAAGGAAGAAACATAACCTGTAATCTTTGAGTTGGCTCTATGTACTTCCTCCTTGAAACTTTGCGAAAAAAGGCTGCACGTAGTGTTAAGAAGGATCAGATCAACTATCAAAGTAAAGTTTTACTTATCAAAAAGGGGTCACTTTATTCCAAAATCGAGTTAATCGTTAGCATGGAATCCACACCTAATGTAAAGGAAAGAAACAAAAATAACCTTGCCCAAGAAGATACTCAAAGATTGATTTGACTAGTATGTTACAGTTCCAAACAGAGATGTCATGTCAGCTTGCATTCAGCTATTGCTGCATTGCTAAAATCCTCCACAGATCGAAAGGCGAGAGACACTACAAGGTGGGGATTATGGAGAAAAGAAAAGGAATAAAGCAGCTTCATAGCATACACAAGGTTACAAGTAATTATAAGATTTTCAGCAATAATTGGGTCAAAATCTTTACATATAGAGAGTTTGTCAATGTTCATCTTGTCTATCATCTTTGTAATATGATTCAATTTACTCAATTCCAACAACAATATGCTATAAGGTATTTCACATATCACTAGGAGTTCGAAAATACTGCATTAACGATCCACATCACTAAGGTAGCCAAGTCAATCAACCTGCTGGATCCAACACAAACACCAGTCAGACCCATGTTGGGTAGCTAGTCACACAAAAATCAGCCTGCTGGACCAAACAAAACCGACTAGTGATTATAGCAAATCATCTAGTGATTATACATACCTAAGGAAGATAAAAAAAAACACAAAAACAAAAACAAAAAACTGGAAAAAGGAATCAATTGATTACCTTATACTCCAGATGCAGCTGCTTTCTCACTTCAAAATATCCTAGAACAAAAGATACTCAAATGGCCAGTGGTACTTTGGATTTAGGATGTGAAGGTCCACAAAATCTATCTATAAAATGTCATTAGTAAATGTAGTCCATCAATTATATTGCATAAAGGATCCATTAGATGAGATGTAAAGTGAAAAATTATCATGAAAGAAAGATGTGGATTAAATAAATAATAATTTCCACCAAAATTAAAGTGACATATTATTGGAATAAATCAAAAGATATACTTAGTGTCCCACCAAAATAACAACTCACATTATATCACTGTAGTGGATGAAAAAGAAAACAACAAGTGTCCCGCAAAAATAATGACTTATGTTACTACAACGATATGAATTACATATAGCCACACAACGATATGAATTACACACAGCCACACAATCATAATGATGCTTGTCATTATAATAACTAGAAAACCATGCATGATCTGCTCTTATGTTTCAGTTGTGCACAGTTAGGTTTGTGTCATGCTCCACTACATAAATGATTGGGCATCAAATACAATCACTAATCAAAAGCATCAATTTTTACTAACGAAGAAAAAATAGAGGTGGAGAGGACTTCTACTGATAGATGTCAAGTTCAACTACATTTATGATTGCCCAACTAACATCGATTCGAGATCTAATGTCTGTAAAATTTTGCCATCTTATGCTCATCCACCTAGGATAGTTAAAGAAAACAATCATTATAGAAGTTCTAAATTAAGATGTACAAGCAATGAAATAGACTCCATTCAATTATGTTAAAATATAAATGGAAAATTCACCTCCAAATGCTATTCGAACAAATTTCAAAGGTCCTGTTTCAATTAACTTTGCAAATATTTCTCAAGCTCAATGAGAATAATTCCACTTCAAAGCATACCATCACAATCACAAAAATAAATATGAAGTAAACATACAGCTCATTTTCTGGACTGCAGAAGTTTACTAAATCTACTTTTCCCTGTGACAAAAACATTTTCAGATGTGCAAAACTCATACATGTAACTCAAATCACGAGGAAAAGCTTAAGGCACATGTGTTTGGTTTCATTATTGATGGGACTCATATTAAGAATACATTTATATCTGAATAGCATGAACAAACACAGAATGTGGCGGTCTTGCAGAATCCTTTGAATACCATCAAGGAACTTAGATCGAGTACTTAATCATAATAAAACAAACAATTCTATTACATAGAATTTCATATTTCATTCATTTAAACTCTGTTAAATTTTGGAAGGTAACACAAAATTGGAATGGCTGAAAAGCTGTTTTGACTTGAGAACCTTGTTTTCTCCTCATTGATAACAAAAATGCATTCACAGTATATTCAGCACAGTTTGGAGAATCATTTAGCTGAGCCAAATCCACAACACTGAAAAAGGAAGATCTTTTTATTAACTTATATGAAAAAAAGAAGCATAATACATCGGATCTCCATGACAGAGACATCCATCGTAAAATCAATTTTAGTTGAAGAAACAATAGAATGGTATACATGAAGGTTCTCCATATCCCTATAAGTAGGTCAAATCTTGAAGAACATAGATACACCAAAGTTATAACTCCCCACTTTCTTCTTCGATTAGCAGCAAAAAATAAAAAATCACTCCCCCAAATCAATTAAAGAAATATGTTCCCCAAATTATATATATAATCTAATGATTCCAAAAGGAAATGTGTGGCATATGTTGCAAATCATGTAAGAGAGTATTGCAACAACTCATAGAAGTTACGAGTGTTAAAGCTGCCATAAAATAATCTCCTGAACAATAACAAGAACAAAATTGTCAAAACAGAAGTTACATTATTACATACCTCATTATGAAGGAATGGCATCTCAAAGTTTCATCATTGAACAAACACTTCAGTACAAATCAAGAAAGAGAAGTACGAAACAATTGCCATCCCATATGATGGGTGGGGCACCGTAATTTCAAATTTCATCAACTAAGTTAAGTTCAATAATTACGGGTAAATCTTCTAGTTCAAGTTATTGCGTGGATTACAACCAGACAAAAAAGTTGAAGCATATATTAAAATCCAAACGTATTACAAGATCATGAAGAAAGGTATTAGGTAAATCTTGTATTTTTGTATATGCATGTGATTTATAATTCTTATGCATTTATTCTTTTCTGTTTTTCTGTGAGCCAATCCTGGTTAGGTGTGACTAATTCCTAACAGGATAATGAGTGATGTAGGAAGAAAGGTATGCATTTTGTATAATAAAATAAAAAGATTTGACAGATGCAATAACAAAGAACATCTAGCATATTACAGAAAAGAGATGGAAGGAGATTAAAGAACTAACCTTGTGACACCTCTATACTGTGAAGTCCTCTGTCCAAATGTATCAATGGACTTCCTATGGACAACCTGCTTCTGATCAAGCTTCTCAGACCCTCTTTTCTTCCCCTC